AATACTTAAATCTCATACGAAAATTACCGCCTGACCCCGATATTTCCTCCTCCTCCTCGTCTTCCTCCCGATGCTTCTCTTTTCCCCGTTAGTCGCGTGCCGCCGCGAGCCCCGCGATTATTTGAGATATAAAGCCCGACCCACTTGCCCGATCCTTTTTCCAACCAACGTATCGTTAAGCGCAGCAAAAATCATTTAATAACTACCTTGTCGTACGGAACCTCAAAGATCGCGCGATAAATATTATAAAGAAAAACGGTTATCTTCCTCGGTTTTGATAAAACACACAATTCAATCGTTTCTAAAAGCTTGCGAGATGTAATTATAGACACCAGTATATGCTTTCCATTAAAATAGGTACGTGCGTTCCAATTTCCTCCTTCCTTTTAAAACGCTATTTTGCAATACATTAACCCCTTGGCTGTTTGGCGAAAAAAATGCTTGTGGGCCAAAAATCTTATTGACAAAAGAATTAGTAAAATTAGTAAAATTATAAATAGGTGCTTTCTAAGGGATTTTTGAGTCGCTGAATCTAAATCTTATGTCAAAATTGCAAATTTTTAAACGAAAAAAATATTTATAAAAATTCTTATAAATTAATTTTTATGTAAACCAAGCAATATTGTAAATTTTTTGCCGACATATTAAATCCGTTATTTGAAATTAATTTTCAATTTTAAAAACGGAATCAGCAACTTTAAAATCCCTTTAAAACTTTTTATGCAATTAAATCATATTTTGAACTTTTTGCTCATTATATTGAATTTGCAATTTTAATTTCTTCAATTTTTATTTTAAATTTAAAATCAGCGATTTCAAAAACTTTTAAATATAAATTTTTATGCAAATCAAATAATTTTTTGCATTTTTGGTCCGCCATGTTAAATCCAGCAAAATTTTAAAATTCGCAGTTTTGATTTCAAAGAATTTAGCAATCCCAAAAACATAAAGATATTAGGGCCTGTTCTAATTGCTCCGTTAAAGATATTATCTTTTCTTGGATGCTTTGGATGTGCGGATTTTCCGTTATGAACAGTACTGGCTAATTTTTTGCGGATATTTCCATTGTTAACAGTCAAGGAGTTAAAAAACACATGTGTATATCCACGAATAACTCAACTTTATGCATTGTTGGGCAAGGCAATCAAATCTTCTACGCGAAATTCAGGATCGTCGAGAAGTTGCACGAATTAAGACTCCTCCTCACGTACTCGAACGGACCAAATAAGGCGACACTCTCCTCCAACGATGACTTGTCTCACAAACTACGCGGATACCCGGAGGAAGGAAGAGAGAGAGATACACGTAGAAGACATAACGTTCAAATATTAATTAAACCACTCTGGAAACTTGACGAAATGGCGCTACGCGATACTGGCGAAGGTAAAAAAAAGTTTCCCCAACGATATTTGAGAAAACGAGCAAATTGCGAGCAAAATTTCAACGTAAACGTTTTAATATAATTATATACATATTAGTTGAGAAACAAATATGTGTTCATTTCTCTCGTCGCGTAGCGTATCGGGCAACGGTGTTGTCTCTCGAAGCGCATTAACGTAATTACGTAAAATTTATACCGTAACCGAAGGCGGGAACAATGCGGCTCGCCAAGGTAAATAGAATCCGTCTCGATTTACCCGCATCGGCAAACGGAGCAAGTTTGGACCGTGGAGCGTCGTTTGGAGTTGCCCTGGAGCGAAATGAATAGGCATCTAGCGAAGTTCTACATTAATCGCCCGGTATTCTACGATACCAGCGGGATGAATAATTAACGAGACGCCCACGCGACCGTGCCACGTGTCATCGATACCGCGAAAATCCACTTGACGCTCACGTGCCCGCAATTTTCCCCGACAAAACTGTCCCGATACCGCGTTGCGACATTAATCAAACTTAATTTCTTCCTCTCTCACAGAGAGAGAGAGTGGAGAGCGAAGTCGATGATGACGACGACGCGACACCGTTGTCCCTGCTGTCTATCAATTATTGACTCGTATACACGGCGGAGGAAAGGCGTGATGGAGCGAACACCGCGCCAACACTTACACCGGGCGTGTGTACGCCGGTTGACACCGTCGTATCGAAAGACATATGCCCTCGTTCTCCTCATACCCACACATATCCACTGGCGGCGCACGTACTACGTGACTCGGACGAGTACACGTATATAGTAGCCGCGAGACACGATCTAACGACGGACGGGTCAGGCGTCGCCGTAAAAGGCCATTAATGTCCGTCGTTCTCGTGGAACGTCGTCGTGCCGTATCGGCGCTCCTTCCGGCGAGAAAAGCGAGATCCTCAAGATGGTTTTTCAAGCTCGTTTAAAGTCGACGTACGCGCGCGCGCGCGCAGCTTCCGACTTTTCCCGGAATAATACGCGCGAAATTAAATCTACCGTCAGCTGACTGCGGAGACTCGTCGCGTTGTTTTAAAACCGCGCCGGGGTCTCATCGTCGAGCGAGGGTCTTTATTTACCGTACGACGTCTGCTATTCGTATATCCATTCTCCGATAACAAGAAACGGAGATTCGCGGAACGAACCCAGTCACCTATTGACATTTCTTTGTTTGGAAGTCCGGGAAGCAATTTAACGCGCGCGCGCGCACACACACACACACACACGGCGATTTATTCGCGAGCCGACAATTCACGGAAGACAAATACAGAGAACTTCACGGAGACATTGTAGCATTCGATATTGGAAGTGTATAAATGCGTCGAATTATCTTAAAATAATTACACGGGGAAAGGAGAGTACAACGGAGTTTCAATTTTCGGGCAACTCGATGAAGCACTCGTCGAAAGAGAATCGGTAACGAGCCTCGCGCTATTAAGAAACGATTCTTTCTCGCCTAAAGACCCATGGCGAAGACGGCACGGGCGGTGGCGGCGACGGCGATACGAAAGAATATTTATAAGCTCCTCTCACGGCTAAGCGGCGCGCGGCACCGAGGTATGCATTTTCCGCGCGAAGACAGCGAGATTATTACCGGCGATATTTCATCGGCCGCTAAAACCAGCCGGCCTTTCGGGACGCCCGGCCCGTCTCTCTCGCCTCTCCTCTCCGCCGCTCCTCTTCCGCCGCTTGCATTAAAGGTCCTCGCGGCAATTGTAAAATGTAACTACGGTACGTGTAAGCGCGGTGCACGGGATTTATGCTCGGCATGGCCCGAGAGAGAGATAAAGCGTAAGAGAAGAAAAACCCGCCTCTCCTCCGGAATATATTCGCGCCGAATTCCGCGCGTTTCTCGCGCGAGACAATATTTTTTTGTCGGCGGAGAGAGGACCGAAGCGATCGGGAGGAAAAGGCGAACCCTTCTCGCCGCGAGAAATCTCGTATCTCGGGTTACTTACGAAATACGAGAATTTTTCGAGCGGCTCTAAATATTCTCGAGCATCATGAACGAGTCGGCGAATATCGTTGCGCGAACGCGAGGTTCGGCGAAAATTTAGCGCGTTACGCCTCTCGATCTTTCCGCGATCAGCCCAAAGCTATTCTTTTCAATCACGATTTCTTTCTCCCTCGTCACTCGGCGAATGATAAAATCTAAAACGCGGTGCTCCGCTTTTATTTTCGACGAACATTTTCGCGCGCGCGCGAGCGTCGCGTCGCGTCGTAACGTATCGCGACAATAAAACTGGTCGAATATCTTGTTCAATCGATACCGCGGGCCGCCTTTATAAATTGTTATCCTGGCCATTAGTCAACGCATGTCACAAAAAAACTCCCCGGCGGCGCGGAACGTTACAAATATTTTGCTGGCGTATTTTGCCGGCGACGAATTACACCACCGCGACCATCATTAGAATGGCCATTATTTCGCAAAAAGCGCTCGCGCGGGGGTGAGTTTTCCGCGATATAGAATTCCCGCTTACTAATTAACGTACAGGCCGCGGATGTTTTGGCGATAAAAACATAAACGCGGGACACGCGATACCGACGATAATTGGCGTCTGTCGCGGCCCGTTCATTCGGAGATCGCGCGCTAAACGTTGAATTTCCAAAATCCCGTTCATCCTCATTAGCGAATCGCCTAAGATTGCGCGCGCGTCCAACTTGTTTCCGATTCTTTCCCCAAGTTTCTATTAACAAAGCCAACAACGCGGAAGCCCTCATTACAACGTTATCGAAGGGGGATAAACTCGATCTTTAGCGCAACTCCGCCGGCGCGAACGTTTACTTATTACCGGAACAAAAGTTCGCGGAGAGAAAGAGAGAGAGAGAGAGAGAGAGAGAAAGAGAGAGAGAGAGAGAGAGAGAGAGAGAGAGAGAGAGAGAGAAGGAGAGAGAGAGAAAGAAAGAGAAAGAGCGCGCGTCACTTTCCAACCCGGTGCGCTCATTTGACAAACGTCGCTCCGAAACACCGTTTGTTTGTTTTCGAATCGTAAACGGGCGAGGGTCCCTTTAAAGAAGCGAGAACGTCGCTTTGTATCGCTTTGAACGATTCCGGAGCAAAGGCGGGTCGTATTGGCAATTTTTGAAAAAGGTCTCTTGCTCGTTCGCGTTTCGGCGTTTCTTTCAAAATTAAACCGTGGACAGGAATGAGAGAGAGAGAGAGAGAGAGCGCACGCGCGCACGGGAGTGAGAGAGAAAGAGACAGAAAACGGCGAGCCGACCCTACTATAAACGCGAAAGCGGCGCACTTCAGGGGGCCTCGATTTGAACACCACTGGCTCCGACGAGACGCCAAGAATGCGAGAATGCCTCGATAGCGGCGTAACACTTAACCGCTCCGGAGGGAAAGGCAGAGGCGAGCTTTTGCCTCCTCGCGCGACGTCGCGCGCGTGAAAATAAAAAGAAATCAACGGAAAAACGGAGCGGAGAGCGTCGCGCTACGCCGCGATAGAGATTCCGTCTCGCGGCAGTCGCGGCTCTCGCGAGACGCCCCCTCCCTCCCTCTCACCGCCCCTCGTGCCGCAACGCGGCCGCGTGTCGAGGACCGTCGTCGGGATTGTCGAGGCGGATAGTATAAATGGATGCGAAACGGTGTGAAACTTACCTCGGTAGCGGCATCGCATCCCGCGAGGATCACGGCCGTGCTGATCAGAAGTATCCAGCGTATCCTTAGCCGCATCTTTCTGTCCCGTGTTCCCGATGGGCCCCGCTCGCCCCGGCGCCCGTCCCGTATGCACGCGCACGAATTCACGGGGGGAAGGGGGAACGTGGAACTCGCGGTAAGGCGACAAGAGCGCGAGGCGACGTTCCGCGTGGGACGACGGCGCGTAGGGCAGAGGATGTACCCGTGATAAACGTCGGTCGTCGTCGGGTCTCGGGACCGACCGCTCCGCTCCGAGGGAGAGAGGGGAAGGAAAAAAAAGATCTCTCCCGGAACAACAACGCGCGGACACACACCACACTGATCGATGAACCGCGAGACACTGGGCGGCGCGACGATCGCCCGCTACCGTCGACCAGACCGACCCGACTGGCCGCCATGCTGCCTCGCCGCGCCGCGCCCGCGCGCGGCGTCATCTATCGGCGCCCCGTCGCGCGTGGCGCCAACTCGGTCCTTGGCGGCAATTACGAACGCGCCGACGACACTCCGGAATAGAGTCTCGCGGTTGTCGATGAATCGATAAATCTAAATAAATCCGAGAGTAATTGAGTAAATGTTCGAACAATGCAACCTAATACCTTTGATGGAAAAATGTCTCAACATTTCTATAAAAATTTTCAGATTAACGGAGGAAGCATAGCTTAATTTATTAAATACAGATTATTGCGTACGCTGTTATTGCATACAATGTACCTATCTATGAAATATCTGAATAATAGATCGCATTAAATACTGTATTAAACCCATTTGAAATGATCTGTGATTCGCGATAGAATTCAAGATGGAATTCTATTTATGATTTCATGTACCACATGATACGAAAGATATTTGCAGAGTAAGAAATAAGAAATACATATGTATAAGATCCAAAGGTTTCCAGCCGTCTTTAAATAATAAATAACGCTGATCGTTTCGTCATTGACTGATATATATTTCATTTTTTCCAAGTTTAAATAAAAATTTTACTATATTCCATTTCCTTATGTGTATATTGTCCTCTTACTAGCGCGATATTGCACGGATAAAATAAAATGGATATCAAAATTAATACGTTAAGTGATCGATAAAATTACGCAAGAAATTGTTACGCTTACCCTGGAGGAAAAATGTCTCAAGAATTTTTGTAAAAATTTTCAGATTTTTTATACGATTTCGAACGTTTTTCAGAAAAACTCAGACAAAATAATAATAAAATACCTACTTCAGACTTTTAGGGCGTCTTTGTAAAAATCTAAATAAAATATGCATAAAATCTGTGCACGTTATCAAAAAATGTCATACATACAGATACTGAAATCCGAAAATCCTCATACAATTCTTACAAAATTTCTGAGAAAATATTAGAAATTTTTTCACCAGGGTAGAGGCCGCTTAAATGTATAAAGAAATCGTGTGATTGATGCAATCAGCTAAATTTCACCAAACTGACGAAAAAGATATGAATCGTTTATTCCAAATCGGTCTCACAAAATTGCGATTCTTAAAAACGAGAACGTGATTGCCTAGGTCTTCTTGTCGCCGGCGGACAAATCTCTCTCCAGGCCCCTCAGAAATCTCAGATTCTCATTAATGCCGCGATTATATTCCTCAATCTTGTTCCTCATGATCTGCACTTCTTTCTGCATGTGTTTTACCTCGTCTTGCGTTTTCTCCTTGACAACTTGCAGCAATTTCCTATCCTGATTGTCCGTAATGCCTTACGTCGTGGCTACCGTTTGACTCTAAAACTTATTGCGAAAATGTTTGTATCACCTGCTTGTAATAATATTCCGTTTCACACGCAACATCGCCAAGCAACGCCTGATCCGTCTTCGAATCGTGCTTCTTCCTTCCGTTAAAATGTCTAAAGCTGAAAGAAGAGTCTTTTTTTACATCGGTTTAAAAAAATAATGTAAGCCCCAAAGCATGGAAATCACGGTGGAAATATTGTCAGCAAATTAAATGTATTTCTAATTAAATACCTAGGCGTATATTTACGCGCTTCCTCGAGAACACGTCGCAGCATTGCGGTCGCGAAATAAAAACAATTTAACGCAAAATGGATATCTTGTATACGCAATTTTGACTGTTTGTTAAACGGAAAATATTTTTACCGAGGTTACACGAGACGGACGAAACAAACTCGCATCTGCAGAAAACGCGTCTCGAAATGACTCAACGTCTTAAAACAGTCTAAACCAAGGTTAAGCAACAATGAAAAACACGTTTTATTTCCAAGTGTGAGTGTCTTCCAAACGTTTTAAGTACAAAGGTATCGTCTCGCCAAAATAAACGATCCATATGATATTCAAGGAAATACCATTCAATGCTTAAGTAACATATATATGTATATATTAAGAGCATTGTATTTAATATCTATGTAACAGTTTTTTATACATAAGAAGACTGGTGATACTCTGTTAGTTCTACTATTTTCGATCTATTTTCTTTGCATCAAAATCAATAGTATAGCCGCGGAAATCGAGAGTATCACGGTAATATAATTTTTTCCATTCATTCTTTCTCTTCCATATCTGAAATCCGTTTTTTGTGGCGATTTATAGCCTCCTGATGGCGCTTAATCTGTTCCTCGTGGAATGAGATCTCGTCATGCAGGCTCTCTCGCATCTTTTGTATCTGTTGCTTTTGCTGAAATCACATTTCAGATTCGTGTAACGAACAAACAAAATGGTTAACGTGAAATGTGATTAACGGGAAATATACACCGACCAGGTTGTAGAAGTATTGGTCTTCGTGGGCAGCTTCCATTTTTCCAAAAGAACCACCAGCGTCACGAATAGCACCACCGCTACCTCCTCCCTTGCCAGCACCCGAACCGCGTTCTCCAGCCATCCTCACATGACTGTAACAAAGTACGTTTCAAATATAATAAGTACTTGTAGCCGCAGGAAGCTCTGCTTAGAAATAAAAAAAAAATATTATTCAAAGGTTATGTCTGCTCTCAGCCCAACCATTACATAATTTTGATACGGCATCTACTCGGGGTGATGTCAGAAATCTGTAACGGCACTGCGAAGATATGACTCTATTTATAATAGCGAGAAGATAAGATATACTCTTAAGTACGAAAAGCAGAAGACATCGGTATATTACTGCGAAGAAAAACGATATATCGGGATCTATGTTTGCAGTGGGAAAATGCCGGGTAGGTAGGAAGCATGAATCGAGGACAGGCACGATCGAAAAATCGCTCGACATTGAAACTGCGGAGCTTTTCTGATACCTTAATGCAGAAACGTTCCGCGAAAACGTCGTAATTGCTCGTTGCATTTTTCCAATCACGAAATACTCGGTATCAGAAGGCCAGCAAGGACTTGGCGAGCCGACAGGGATGAGCTGCCAAGCGATATCCGAGTCATGAACGAAACACTATTCTTAGAACGCAAAACTCAGTGGCGATCAGCGGCATCGTGGCGCGTGGCGCTCGTATCGTGAGCCTCCATAAATTTAAACGTGGTTTCGCGGTTACCTTCACAGAGCGACTTCGACCAAATTCTAATTAACTTAATCAAGCGAGCCCAGCACATTCCCAGCTACTAGAAGCTTTTAAAAGACGTCCAAAAATTATGTTATCTTTTTAAACGTTTTCGTGATGTCTTTAAAATGTTTTTTAGAACTTTCTGCTAGCTGGAATATCCGTACTATTATGTTAATGTGGCTAGAGTTGTTAGTTCTTTGTCGTTTAACATATTAAAAAAAATATAGATAATAAATTATGTAATTAGAAATTTTGTTGTGAGTAGACATCGGATTTTTGATATGCAGATTTTAGTTATTAATAATTTTAGTTATTAATTGCTCTTTTCCACCAATCTACATATAAAAAATCCGATGTCTAGTTATGAGCAATTCTGCAGTTCGGTTGATTTAATTAATGTAATCGGTTAATCAAAGCCGTTCGGTACTCGACCTGTAGTACTCGTCGACTTGATCCTGCATCAGCTGCTTCTTGAGCTCGGATGTCTTCAGCTCGTTGACGGCGGTCTGCTTCTGCAGCTCCGCGCGCTCCAGCTCGATGTGCAGCATCCGCAGCTTGATCTCGTGCTCACGCTGGGTAGACTTGAAGATCCACGTCGCCCTCTGCACCGATTTGTCCTTGTCGCAGGTCGCCAGGCCGCCGTTCCAGTCGGCGGACGACTCGTTCCTCGCGTCGCCGTGCTCCACCGCTTGAAAACAAAACAATACCGCTAAACAAAGATCCTGTCGGGCGTGCGCGCAAACGAAGAAACGGAATATTAGGAGTACCAAAATCGACACGGGATGTCGACACGCTGTCGGGGCAAGTGTTTTTTTGCTCGACGAGATCTACGGGCTCATCCCCGGCCGTCATCCTGGGACGCTTCCGGTGCGAGAGATCATCCTCCGACGCTTTCCGCGACACCTCGCCGTGACTGTTCTCGTCCTCGGTGTCGCTGTTCACCTCGATCTTAATCTCCTGCCCCGGCCCTAAATAATCATTTCTATATATAATTTCGCGCGATTTTTCCAAGTCGGCGAAATCAGGGAAATCGAGGGAGGAAAAAAAAGAAAGAAAAAAAAAAAAAGAAACCGCGACGGTCAATCAGTCCGTCAATATCCCAACCTGACGTTTCCGTGGGTAACGTGAGTTTATCCAAGATCGCGTGTATCGACATCCGACTCGTCGAATTCTCGTTGTCCTGACTACTGTCGTCCGAACGATCGACGATCTCGCAATCGTTCTTGCGCACGTTCTCCATCAGTCGCCACACCTCGATCGACAGATTCGACGGACGGGACTTGGCGGCCACTTCCGGTCCCAGGGTTCGCACCTGTGCACGAACGGCGGCGGGGGAAGAAATGAGAAGAAGAAGGAGAAGAGAATTTAGAGGAGAGGAAGCTTCTACTCTCTCGGCGAAACATATCAAACATTTTACAGGGTTGAGAAGTAACGCGTTACAAGTTACTTTTTCCCAGTAACGACTTGGTTATTTTTTTTCAATAGTAACTGTAATGGTAATGGTAACGAATCGAACAGTTACTTTAATCGTTAACAAAGCCCCCCCCCCAAGCGATAACGATGATTTTTTGCTTTTCATCGCGAAACAGGCGCGATTCAATTCAAAATGGAGGAATTGCAACAATTTTTAACATCTGAATTTTGAAATATCGAAATGTTGAGCGACTATCCAAATATTACAAAAAACCCTTATTAAATACAAAATACACTACTTCTAGTTCCGTATTAACACAACAAAGAGACTGTCTTCACGACACGACGATATGACGGAGCATATCAGCTCCTATTAAAAGTTAATAAAGAATTTTGATGAAATTCAACGAGTTTATTTAAAACAAGAAACCATAAAAATCGTAACTTTTTATCTTCAACAAATAAACGTACGGTTGGATTTGTTAAATTTAATTTTTCATTTAAATTAAATAAAGTAACGAAAATAGTAACGATAACGGGAACGAGTTTTTTTTTTTTTTAATCGGTAATGAGTAACAGTAGCTATTATTATAGTTATTTAAAAAAAAAAACAACTTTTCCAATCCCGGGTTTTACGCGATTGCAACGCGCACCTTTTCGGCGTACGTGTACATCTCCATCCTCGCCTGGGCCTTCATCCGCCGCCACTGCTCCCGGATCCTGGTGATGTCCCGATCGGCGGAGAATCGGCCGCGGAACGCGCAGTAGATCTGCTGCCAGGCGATGGACTTCATCGCGGACGCGCCCGCGTCGATCTTCTTGTTCTCGATCGCGCTCACGTGGTGCTTGATCAGGGCGAACAGGGCGCTCTTCTCCTCGGGGATCCAGTTCTGCGTCCGCTCTCGCTTCTTCAGTAGCACCGTGGTTGCCTCGGACATTCTCACTCGCCGATCTCGCGATCTCCGCGCGCGCGTGCTCCGTTTTACACTCTCTCAACTTCGCTTCGCGGGCTGAGCGAGCGCGCCCGGCGCCGACTTTTGTCTCTCTAATCCGCCCGCGAGTTAATCCCACGGAGCACGGAGCCTAGTTCGAGCCGCATGCATGTACAAAAACGTCTCTCCTCGCACCGTCGCGCATTGATCCGCCGCTGTTTTCGCGAGCCCCCCTCGGTTTGCTTGTTTAAGCGCGGTTTTAGAACAGTCAGCTGTTTAGTTGCTACCGGCGCGTCGCCGACGCATCTACCGAGTGCCCCGAAAGTCACCGCGCGATTACGATTCCTCGAATGACTCGGGTCTACTCGGAGTTCGGAGTTACTCGCGGTATTTGTTTGTAACTGTCCCTTCGCTCGAGTTCACCGGGGATGACCTTCGTCGTTTTGGTTCCTCGCGCGAAGAAACACGAGTCGAGTGTTTTTTGTACCTATACGCTGGTCGTCTCGGCGATTATAACGTTTTACTCGTTTTAATCACATGGAATTTATGAAACGCTTTATATGCGATATTTCGGTACCAGATTAGGCTCGTGGGACGAGACGCGTGTGTAACACACGAGTGCGTGAAGCGACGCGACGCGAGTTACGTCGGAATAACGGTACGAGAACGGTCGAGAGAGAGAAGCTGAACGCAGGCCGACTTAAACCCGAACTAAGGGACGACTAAACGTCGGCCATTTTGGCACGGTACTAGCTAGAACGCGCTCGATATTAACAAATCCTCGGTTCGCGGCGCCGCGCCGCTGGGACGCGAGAGGGGAAGCCCTCTGGCTGAACGAGATGAGGACGAGGAGAAGAGAAAGAGAGAAGGAAAGAGAGAGGGATAGCCGCGACGCGACGTTCCGCGCAACGCAAACATTGTCTCGTTACGTTTCGCGACCTGTCGCGGAGTCATATTGCGCCGATTCCAATATTTCCATCTCGTTTTGCCGCGAACACGCTGCTTCCCCAGTTCCCCACCCTTCGTCACCGCGCCTACCCTCTTACCCCTCCGATTCTCGGCCCGATGTGCCGGAAATCGGCAGGGTTGGGAAAGTATATATAGTTATTTTTTTAAAGTATATATAGTTACCGTAACTCGTTACCGATTCAAAGAACTAACTCGTTCCCGTTATCGTTACTAATTTTAACAATTAACTCGCGTTAACATTGCCGTTACTATTTTCGTTATTTTATTTAATTTAAACGAAAACTAAATTTAACAAATCCAACCATAGGTTTATTTGTTAAAGATAAGTTGAAGATAAAGGATTTTTATAGTTTCTTGTTAAATGAACAAACTTGTTGAGTTTTGTTCTCAAAACCAAATAACCAAAATTATTTATTAACTTTTAATAGGAGCTCATGCTCCATCGTCGTGAAGATATTCTCTTTGATGTTGTGTAATTAATACGGAATTTCCAACGCTGAATAAGCGCTTTATCGAACACTGGAAGTATATAGTGCATAATTGTATTTAATAAAGAGTTATTTAATATTTGGATAGTCGTTCAACATTTCGACATTACAAAGTTCAGATTTTAAAAGTTGTTGCAATTTCTCCATTTCTACCGGAAATTGACAGGATTAGGAAAGTTACTTTTTTGAAGTAACTATTATACATAGTTGCCGTTACTCGTTACCATTATCGTTACTAATTTTGAAAAGTAAAGGATTGAAATTTGGCTTTGTTTCTTGGTGAAAGGCAAAAAAATCCTCGTTATCATCAGGTACTTTATCGCTCATTGGGAAACTTTCTTTCGATGTGATATTTGATAGATCTTGTAGACCCGGCCTAAAACAACGATTAAAGTAACTGTTCGATTCGTTATCGTTACCCACCCAAAAACTAACTCGTTCCCGTTATCGTTAAATGTAACTGCGTTATCTTTACAGCTACCAAAAAAAATAACGCCGTTATCAAATCATTACTGGAAAAAAGTAACTTGTAACACATTGCTTCCCAACCCTGGAAATCGGTCATCAGAGGGAGATATTATCTCGACTCTCTAATCAAGAATTTGTAAACCGAGTTCAACGAGATGGTTGTCGACGAGAAACTACTACAAATATATAAAAGTTAAATAAATAAAATCAAGTATTATATAAATAAAAATAAAAATAAATACAGAGAAATAAATATTAAACGAAATTAAAATAAATAAGATTTTCCCATGATCGAACTCGCGCGTATCTCTCATTTCTCCCTCGCTCCTCTCCTTTTGTTATCAAAGACGGAATTTGTCTCCTCACGTTTTAATTCGTTTTTCGCTCGTAGTTTCTGCAGCATTCTCGCATAAATCTATCAAGAAAACTAACAGAGAACCGCGCGACCGTAATCGCTATTTACAATCGCTCTATTTACAATCTTCTTTATTCTTATTCTTTATACTTCAGTGCTACGACGTCGGTTTGCGTAATGCACGATTAAATTAGTCTCGCGCGTGGAGATCAACTTGACTTAACGTTTACGCGAGAAAGGAAGTTTTAGCTTCTCGAAAAAGACGAGAAATAACGGCGTGAATTTACGGTGGGGTATACTTGTATTTACGTTTATTCTAACAATTTTTTAACCTTTTATTTATGTATTCGAAAGAGTTGGGGTAATTGAGTTTCTTATTAACTGTGTGATACACTTACACACACAGTTTGAATCTAATACCTAATAATTACCATCGTTGTAGTCTCGTCTTGTCAGTGCAATAAGATAATAAGATTGTATTTTTGCTCCAAAATTATATTTATAATTTCTGCGATAATGAAAAATAGATCACAGTAATTGAATTTTTACGTTATCAAACCATGTAATCTGAAGAAATCAATGAGCTTTTACATAATTAATAACATTAGGAAAATGCATCGTGATTGCGTCTCGTCGACTAATAAGCGATTGGCCTTGACGCTCTTCTTCTTCTCGTGCCGAGATACGCGGTGATGTTCATCAGAATCGTTAGAAGCAGCAGTCCGATCATGTCCCACCAGAAGTTATTTTCGTTATATCCGTACTCTGATAAAACCTCTGTTCCGTTCGATAGACAAGGCAGGCCGCGACTGGCTGGACAATCTGAGGAAAGATAAATTAAAATGTTAATAAAGCTCAGCCCCAAAAGATTTAACCGTCTCTTACCAATGTTCTCTATCTCCGACCAGTGTACTATCGATATAGCTTCGGTGGCGTAGTAAAACATGGAGGAATATTTGAAATACGCCAGATAGCTCGGCAAGGTCCTACGGGAATCAACTTTTAACGTGCGCGATGGAATTCTGTTCGTCCCAGTGTACCATGTCCAAAATCGGGACATAACATGTCTTGAAGATATCTTAAAATGTTTTTAAGGGAGGAAACCGATTATATAATATAAACAACCGATTATTTTATATTATATAGAGTGATAGAATTTCGTAACAAACCAAAGTGCATCCAATCCGAGTGCATATGAGAGGCCTTCACCTTCAACGGTAGCTTCTTTCTTGTTTCTCATGAATATTAAGAAAATGCAAAAAAATTCGATTTTTTAAAACCGTCACAGTGGTTTCCTCCCTTAAGACGTCTTATGTCCCGATTTTGGACGTGCTGTCTGGGGTCGTGATATTGACAGCGGACAGCGGACAGCGCACTTACCGCAGATTGTAAAACGTCCCCGCCATCAATAGGAACAACATGTCGAGCGGTATCATTATCGTAATCACGATATCGATGTCGGCAATCCAGCTGGAGATCGTCATGCCGTACGCGATACCGCAAATCGCCGCCGCCGTCGTGCAGAGGCAATAGGAGCAGAAGCTGAGCAACGAGAATTCGGAATGCAGCGCCAGGTATAGCGCGATCGTGAACAAGAGCGCCTTGAATGTCGCCTTGGGTATCTGAGGAATTTCCGTCGAGAAATCGTGATAATGTCGCGAGATCTATGTCGCTTCTATAACGTATACGCCAACGAGTAATTACCAGGGCGAGAACGGTGGCGAGGTAATAAGGCCCGGGCGTGTACACGGTATTTTCGCGCACATAGAGAACCAGCTCGCCGGGCAGCTCGTAAACGACGGAGTAGGCGATCGTAAAAATTACCTCGGAGATCGTCAGGTACAACACCCCCCGAGCGTTCTGTATGCCTTCCTGCGTCGACGAGTTGGTGCCAGCGTAAAAAATATTTACGAAGACGATGGACAGCTACAAAATCACAGATCTTTTTACATTGCAATTTTTGCCTCTTTTTTTGTTTCTGACTCCGATTAATCGGCGATTAACTTGTCAAGTAATACCTGTATTTTATATCGTTAACATAGTTTAATGTTTTATTATTTAACATATCTGTACTTTAGAGGTAAAGAATCGTATCTCCATTATTATTCAGAGAAAACAAAAGGTACGTTTAAAGGGTTAAATAAGAAAATGATATATTTTTATGATATAAAAGTAGCGCCTTGGTTTATCAAATTTTTAATAAAGTAATTAAACGGACTGTTTAAATTAAACTGCCAACATGCTGTACCTGCTTTAAAAATTAGGCACTATAAAAATTTTTAATCCGAGTTTTTCTAAACATTGTATCCTATGGAACTAGTATAATAATAGACATAAAACGCTCTTTACCATTATTATACAATTTAAACTCCTGTTACATTGAAAAATGTATCAATTTCATTTTGACAAAAACTGGAGATACAATGCTTTACCTCTAAAGTACAGATATGGAAAAAAGACTAGATTGGGAACAACGAATAATATAGTTAGATGTTAGAAAATTTGCCGCAAGCAATTCTGTCGGTTGAGTCAGATCGCCGATTAAATTAATCGGATTTTGATCGGAATTACTCTAAAATTCTGTTTCTATCTTATTACCGCGCAAGAGAACCACGTGACCCAATTGTCGAAGGCCGTTCTCTTATCCTGCAGGAATGTTCTCCAGAGCAACCAGTAAAACTGCACGAACCATCCTGACATTCTACGACAAAAATTATTACGCTCCATGAACGTTATCCGGGAAAATCTATTCGAGAAATTTTGCTGCCGTTTTATTTCAATACTTTCGAGGGCTGGCGTGGAAAACCGGGATATTTTCAACCACAGGGATCGTTGATAGCGGCGATCGTGAGAACGCACGGCACAGCTCGATATTGCGATCCGCTCGATTCCGGCGTGACAGAATGTTTACGTAATATTCGGACTCGTCGTAGTTTACGGGACAGTGATGATTCTGGCTGTGTGCGTAAAATATATCGATGTTGTTCTATCATTTCACGATAAACTAATTGCGAGCGTCGAAATATTGGAATTTTACCTGTCAAAAAAATTCGTGGCGTTTCTCAGCGTCCCAAAATATACCGATCTACCATCGGCCATCAGTATCACGTGGCTGAATATGTTGTATATCGTCATACCTGGTTGATGAATTGTGCAGAAGACTATGGTGCCTTTCGAAGCGATTAATTTCAACGATTGCACGACGTGCATTGCGGCGAAAGTGTCCAGACCTGCACTCGAATATTCATTTATATCTTTTTGTAAAATTCCTTGATAAAATGCTTATTAGCATCAGTAATATTAAATTGATTCTCAATATATTAATTATCAAGCTTTGGCATAAGCTTGCGTTTCAAGACTGAAGAATAATCGGTGCAAGACTCAAAAGCAATTAAAGATGGAATGTATAAAATTCATAAAAATTATTAATATAGATAGATCTATGTTTAATATTCGACGATTAACGATCGACATGCAAAAATCAAGATCTACTTTCACGTAAATCTAAATTCTTACCCGTGGTAGGCTCGTCTAAAAAAAAAATCTTCGGCCTCGTAACTAATTCCACGGCTAGCGACAAGCGCTTCCTTTCGCCGCCGGATAGCTTGGATATAGCGACGTCGATGCACTTGTATAATCCAAGATCCCGCAAAAATTCCTCCCCTAAGGATTTTCTTTGTAGCACGCTGTAACTACTTCCTATTTTCAAAGCGCACTAAAAAAGAACAGCTTGAAACATGAAAAACAATCGATCGCGTGCAAAAATTATAAGTCATTAATTTTATCTTGTTTTACTATTTCATAAGTTCTTATATATTTTTTTTCGATACCATGAACGACATGTGTTCCCTGGGAGTGAGCGTGGAAGGTAGAACATCAAATTGCGATATGTAGCTCGATATTGCTGTCATCGTTTCTCGAGAAACGTCGTGCCCGTCGATCTTTATTGCGCCCGAAGTTAATTCGAGTCTTCTCGCCAAAGTGGCAAGAAACGTGGTTTTGCCGGCACCGCTGGAGAAACAAATTTGTACATCCATGACCCGTGAATTTAGCATGGAATAATCACGAAGATATATACTTTGTATTGTATTCTGCATACCTCGGTCCCAATATAGCGAACATGTTACCAGTCTCTGCATATCCGGATACTTTATAACAAGAGAAGCACTGTTACTAATAAATAGAAATGCTAAGGTAAATGTACCAATGCCGGGATGCTTAAGACCTACGTCTGGACACCTTTATTATTTTAGTTTTAAAATAAGTATAACGCGAATTAAAATCAAAGATAAAAATATAATAAAATAAAAAATGTTTTTATCTTTGATTCTTTGATTTTAATTCGCGTCATGAAACTCATTTAAAGACTAAAATGATAAAAGTGTCCAGACATAGGTACGTGTCCAGGCATTGAGTACATTTACCTTACTTATCGTAGATTAATAAATCACAGATCATTGAATGATCAACATCTGACTAAATCCAGATACAAATTTTTCATTGCGCTTCAATATTGACAAAGAGAATTACCCCCTTTCAGTATGTTCAACGTTTTCACAGGTTTTTTGCGCAAAAACTTGCACCATCGTTCTCTCAAACAATCGTCATCTTCGGCAGGCACAGTAACGGACAAGTTTTCCCAAAAGAGCTGAGAAAATTGGGAAGTCATCTCAATCGAATCTGTTACCTTCGCACTATCATAACTATCCATCTCACACTTTAGAAGCTCATTAATGTCGCGGGAATCTCTTGAATCCCAAACAAATGTCGCTATCTCCGTTCTCTATTCCTTAATATTTCTTATCGCCGTTATCTAAAGTCGCGTAGATGTTTACGAAGTAGGTTAGTAATTAGGATCTGCTAAGCTTGAATCTCAGCGTTCCCATCATTGTGTGTGAGCGGGTTCAGCAAAACAAACCGCTCAGTAGCAATCGAACGTGATTGGCTCTTACTTTTAGATCCAACAAATCAACATAGCGTGTTGATAAGACGACACACTCATCAACAGTCGTTTCTGTCGAACGCGGCTATTACGATTCCAGATGAATATTGTTTAAAGAGAAGAATATGTTGAAAATGGAATGACGATATGTATATAAGGACAAAAAGGAGACCCAACAATATACTTTGATATTAACAAATTTAATACAGTTAAACATTGTTTTGTAATTATGTCTTGTATTTATACAAAAAGACTAAAAATAGGCAGGTATGTTGCTATTGTTACTGTTAGATAGTACAATAGCGTATCAGATATATTATGCCTCGGAAATAACATATATAAAATATTATATGTATGTATATATATCTACAATTTTTTCTGCAATAACGAGATATATGCGCCGCGTTATTAAATCATATTATATAAAAGTGCAAACATGCGAACATCGCTCGAAAGGTGAAGATCATTAATGTAAAATCTGAATTATTTACAATGCACGATGTATACATATACGTATATATGCCGCTCTCGATATATACCTTACTTACTATAACACACGTATGCTTCTGTACGTAGATCTATATCAAGAACATTATATATCTCTACACTTTTTCCCTCGACGCGAGAAGCGATACATTAAACATTCTTATTTTTCATCTTTCACCCTGAATTTCAGTCCAAATATTGCAATGCTATCAGCAAATTTGCCTAAACGCGTATTACATAAAATCGATCGTTTGACGTTCTAATTACAATCAGCTGTCTTGTGTAAATAACTGCGATTGTGCGAAAGGAGGCACAATGTTGTCGACAACTGAATTTAATCAGTAAAATACTGAATTCAATCAGTATAATTAACAGCGAAATGGAAGTATAGATAGGAAGCGTACTGTAAATCGAACGAGAAAACAATTAAAAGTATATTTTGTTTTTATCGAATTCATAGTATGTGTATATATGTGTGGGATCAATTTAATTAACCAAATAACAATAAATAGTATTACGCTCTTTACCACACATATACGCACAAGATTCTCAATTCTTGCTATTAATGATGCTAGAAGCATTTGTATGAATAGCAGTTATTCACACAATTTTGAGCAGACACAGAAAGCAGCGTTATATACAAATCTACTCGAATTAAAATAATATTTAAATGCACGTGTCAATTTATTAAGAAAAAATGCACATCGGTAATCTTGTCATTATATCGTTATAAAAGCACTGTTTAGAGGAATATTAAAAAATTTATTTAACTATTACCCTTAAATTATGGCTTTCTTACGCTGTATATATCTGAAAATGATTTGGATTGACAGACCCAAATAATTTTCATAAAAGATTCTCGTTGGAGAATAAGCAGATGCTTCCTACTACGAAGAATGGCAAAGTGTAGAAAATTATGATTCTCATGGCATCTACGAAGATACATTGAGGTTGATAAATGGAAAATCGTGACCGAGAATTCGAACTTGAATTCGACAATTTGCCTATTCGTCAGCAGCTGCAGGATTTTTTGGAGCTCGTCGGCGATTGATTCAACGCGAATCTCTCGCCGTCCGTCTGGTCTTGGACACCGTTGTCTTTTATAACCTGATCGTTTTGAAGTATCTGAAACAAACATTTTACATATATTTAATATTAATAGGCACAACCAAATTAATATATGCGCTGAAACATTGAGTGAAGCAATAATAGCAATCGTCCGATCGCAAGTTTGACACGCAGATGTCAGAGATGCTGATTGGTTTCACGTTGATTAATTAATTATGCATCATAAGTCGATCACTTCTAGGGCGAAAGACGTCAATAATTAATCCGTCGTACGTCACGCATAAGCAACAGGCATAGTAAACTTAAGCTTGATTATATGACACAAAGTCTTCACCGAATATTAATATATCCATCTTACTTTTAAGTCAGAATTATTCACGATCGCATATTTCATTTTTAAGAGGTCTGCTTCTCTACATTTATGATTTAACATGAAAGAAAAGTAATGTGAAATATCTCTTACTTTATTGACGAGAAATTTGGCTGCTTCCTCGATGTTAATATTCTCTTTCGCCGAGGTTTCAAACCAGCCGGAGAAGTTCTTCTCTTTACAGTATTCGTCCATCTTGGCGGGCGAGTTAACCAGACCTTCCTTTTGCTGATCGCACTTATTCGCCAGTAGAACGCACGGTATCGCTGATCCATCAGGAAGCTGCACTTTTGAATCCAGGTCTTGTTTCCATTTCACCACAGCGTCCAGCGTCGCGCTCCTCGTCACGTCGAATACTATGAAAGCACCTACGGCTTCCTTATAGTAAACTCTGGTCATGTTCCCGAACCTTTCTTGACCTAGACAGATCATTAAATATGAAGATTAGTTAAGTTTATTAAACTTAACTAATTTTAATATTAAATAAAATATTAAATATTGAATAAACACATTTAAATAAAATTATATTATTCGCGTATAATAACTCGGCTATGGTTTAAACTATTAATTAGACAATTTTAGAAGCGTTTGAGATATCTAAGATGTTTGTCAGTAAATAGGAAATAAGAACTATGCATGTGTATGTTAATCTAACTGTCCCGAGTATTATGTTCCATTATTAGCTCCAAAAATAAAAGGAGGTTGTGAGTTACTATTGACCTGCGATATCCCATAACTGCAGTCTGATGATGGTATGCGGATCCCAGTTCAGGACTTTGAGCGCGAAGTCGACGCCAATCGTCGCGCGATAATGTTGGGAGAAGAATTGATGCACGTATCGTTTGATGATAGACGTTTTCCCCGCCCCGAGCTCGCCGATTACTAATATTTTGTACAAGTGCTCCCGTTTCTCGCTTACTCCGAGGTTGGGTGCATTATTCGACGACGACTGAAACAGCAAAAGGAAATACAATAAACATTTGAACGTAAAATACTTTTTTTTCTTGAAGAAACAATCTTTTTTTTCAAGATATAATGCACTCGGGATGACGCTGCTTTTCTCCCCATTTTCATAGGCAGCGCATTAACTTGATAGATAACAACCAACGACGCTGAATACGTTTTATTAATCGTAAAGAGGAAGAAAATACACACATGATTTATCACAAATAATTGGATAATTATTAAATATCGCTTATATAGATACGGAAAATATAAATAAAATAATTTTTTTTTTAGAAACGCAAATATTTTTGACGAACCCCGAGCCACTTCCATTCTTTCGGTTGCACCTTCCACTTGCCGAAATCGAACGTTTCTAAATTTCGCCAAATTTTTAATTCGACGTCCATGTTTACGCGCGACTTTCTAGGTGCCTGTACGCTTGTTAGAGACTGGAAATAATTACGTTCCTCGCGAATGATCTCGCTGCTGCAGCTCGCGTGAACGAAATGAACTGAGAGACTTGCATGATGGGAGAATGATCCCCGAGTACGGTCGTGGGGGGACTGCACAAGAACTATAAATACAACAATAAGCCTCTCGCGTCTTAATGAATGTATTATCAGCAATCTGAATAATCGCCATCGAATTCGAAGAGACATCAATAGTGTGACGGACCATCTTTTGACATGATTGACTTTCTATTTCGATGATGAATTTTCGAAGCGAACGGATTATCTTCTATTTGATTCTCCTGATTTCGAGCAACTTCGGTTATCTATATAATCGCGCATTTTTTCCCTCTGAAACGTAGACGATAGATAGAACGCGCGAAATAACCACGTAATTCGAAACTCCGTAACCAGACGAGGTAACGCGCAAGATCCAAAGGGGCAGAAATATAAGCGGATCGGTATCAGAAAGGTACCGCAAACGCGTACCGCAGCGTTTGACTGGATTAGCAGGAGAGTCTCTAGAGCCACATACACTTAGCGAACAAACACCGAACAAACAGCGAACGTAAACGTTTGTTGTCATTGTTCAACAGATATAATCAAAAATTTCAAATTGCTACATGCAGCAAACACCGAATCTGGTCGAATTCTAGTATTTGGTGCAATCGAAAGAAAGAACAAACAACCTAGGAGCAAAAACGCGAATATCCGAACGTTCGCATTCGCTGTTGGTTCGCTAAGTGTATATCCTCTCGTGTTTAATATTGGAGTATAAATCGATCCACGTCAAGAACTTTTCTACGAATGAATATATGTCTGTATCTTAGAGGTAAAGAATCGCGTATCTCCAGTTTTTGTCAAAATGGAGTTAATACATTTTTCAATATAACAGGACAGCTTAAGTTGTATAGTGGTAAAGCGTCTTAATTATATCTATTATTACTAGTTCCTAAGATATAAGGTTTAGAAAAAGTTCTATTGAAAATTTTTATAGTGCCTAATTTTTAAAGCATGGCAATTGTGCTAAATTGTATTATACATGCCACAGTTAAATTACTTAATTGAAAACTTAATAAATCAAGTTACTACTTTTATTTTATATCTAAAAAAATATACATTATTTCCCTATTTAAAATTTTAAACCTAATTTCTCCGAATGTACAAAAATGGACATATACGATTTTACCTTTACCTCTAAGGTACAGATATAGATATAAAAAATTCGGTATTTTCTTCAAGTTTCTCAAGAGAGAAACTTAAAAGTAATTTTAAGTACTTATTTCTTCTTCCTATCAATTCTAGTTACGCAGAGCTTTGTTGATTGTGGCTGCAAATGCGTCAACGTGGAATGATCCAGGCTATCGTATTTCCAACACGACGAAGCCGATCATACATTATACGCGTAACATATATATTTCATCGCGTTTCGCAATTCAATATCGCCATTCAATGTCGCAAAACATCAGACGTTCGTAACGTCAACGGAGACAACCCTATACCGCACCTACCGCGATGCATCTCACCTCAAGGTGGTCCACGACTGCCACGGGTGCCATGACGTTGTAAAGTCTGCGATAATTGCTGCCTGTATTGTCGTAATCCTCCGAGAGATCCTCCTCGTCGAGGGTATTGTCGAAAGTGGAGAACGTGTCGAAGGTCCTCACGCTAATGTGCCGCACTTTATTCTTCCTTTCCTCTTCCAGCTGTTGAAGGAACTCGTTGCTGTCGGTACTTGATAATTTGCCGCGGGTGTTAACGTTGATCACCGTCTCGTCCGAGCGCGTCGCGTCCTTGGATTCCGAATCGAAGAAGCGTCGCTGAAATATCGCTCGCTTCTCCTCGAGCAACGACAGCTTACGGCGAATCTCGACGGGCGACGATGTCGACGGCACACATTCAGAGGATTCCGAATCGTATTTCGTCTTTACCTTGCCTCTCCTGGCCGCTGGATCCTCCGCGGGCTTCGTCTCGCTAGGCTCCGGCCATCTCGACAACGCGTATGGGAGTGTCGAGCTGCATCGTTTATCGAAAGGTGAGGCGTTATCTTGATTCTCCTGTTGCGACTGTCGTTCAGTGTCCGGAGAAATTTGATGATGCGCGGCTGTATGGAGAAACGTTTTTACGGTCGGTTTTTCGTATATGATCTCAAGTAGCTTTCAGCGGTTACAACGTTGCTACGGTGCTTTGCTATATGCGGTTGCCAATAATCGTGCAGTTCTACGTGCGTTTGTTACGAGAAGGTTGAAAATAAAATGAGACAAGCATCGACATAAAGGAAAGAAATAAAATTTGAAGAGATGTGCGCACCTGCGTTTCTCAGAAATAAAATCCAGACATATTTTTTTTCAATGCATACGTATCTCTAGATTTTATCTTTCAAAAAACTGCAAACGCATATCTCCCAGAATTTATTTCATAAAAATACGTCAAAGACTGAATGAAATCGTCGTTAAAAAGCGAATATCGCGGAATCTTCCGCCCTTTCAAGTTTCGTGCAGGTTTTGCAATCGCGACCCATAGCATCCATACAAGGCTCACCCTGCTGAACGGTTCCCGCAAAGCTCTTGATGGTCAGCGACGGCGATATGCGTTGCACTACGCTGACGGTCTTCGTCGATTTCTCGAGCTTTTCTGGTTTCTTAATCTCCTCTTTTACCCCCTTTTCCCTCTCCAGGGCGTCGTCGTTCTCTCTTTTCGCGGCACGAGCGTATGTGTGAACGGGCGACTCTTGTGAGGACTGGCTTTGCGATCGGCTACTATTACCTCCCTCCGGAGTGTGTCGCGGCTCTTGCTGTTCCGAGGACATGCGAAATTTATTTAGGCTCAGCTTGCGCACCAGCGAATGCGACTTCTTTTTCTTCTTCTTCAGAGCCGCGCTGGAAAGCGCGTCGGTCGTCAATTTCGGCTCTTTCTCGTCCTCGAGCCGTTGCGATTGCTGCTGCTGAGATATCTCTGAAGCGGAAGGGAATCGCGAGTCAAGGAAAAGCTGTTTAAGAACTTTGCTCTCGGATAAGAACGAAATAATACGCGTCCCATTCCAATTTTATAATTAATAATATTAAAGAAAAATGAAGAAACTAAAAGACTCGAAAAGTAAATCTTAAAAAGATATGATTCATAAATAGCTCATGCATTCTTCGTCATTCGTTGTCTATCTCGTAAATAAGAAGCGGAAAGTTCATCGAACACGTCGAGATTAACCTTTATCACGCTGCTCTGCCTCGAAGGAGGACGATACGTCGGTTTCACGCGTCTTCTTCTTGATTTTAAATAAGTTACCCTCGCGAAGGCTGCTCTTGAACGCGCCAAATTTACCCTTCTTTCGGTCATCCGCGTTGGCGCTGGAAGAGAGGGTCGCGACGCTGCCGCCGGTCAGGGTGTCGAGACTGGAACTGCTGTCGCCCACGGTGATGTATTCGCCAGAGGTGCTGGCCACGACCGACTTCCGCTTCTCTTCCTCCGACGAGGAGCGCGCGATCACCGTGTCGGGTGAACTGCCACCCTCGTTCGTGTTTTCGTTGCGATCCATGATTTTCGCGAAAAATCGCGTCACGATTTAAGACACGATGAATGGATGAATAGAGAAAAAGAGATGATGTCGTAGGGCTGATTTTTTTTTTATACTTTGCCGTACGAACGCTTTCCGTCTCACTTTGCTCGCAGAACACTGTTTTGGCTTCCCAGTCGTGCGCTGAGAAACCTTAAAATTCCACCGATGTTCGATCAGCCTCGAACGGATAATTCACTTATCCCTCTTCTCTACCTTCTTAGACGCGCAACGAGTTTTCTCTGCGCGAATACTGGAACGACTGAGAAGAAACCGAGGACCGAAAAATAACTGCGGTCAACGACGATCGGATTTTTTACTGGATAATTGTTAAACAATGAAAGATGCAGTAGCTGCCATTCAAGCCTGGATGGAATTTAAAGGATGGAGCGAGCTAGTTTATTTTTCTTGCTTTTGTAAAATGCACATACATTTTTATGGACTGGTAAATAACAGTGTAAGGAAAAATTTAAGGATTTTGAACAATTTCAGGCATTCAGGATTATAATATCATTATACGATTATTTCACGCACTGTACGAGCACTATTTCTCTAAAAATTTTCACAATACACTATAGGCAGTACCTTAACATGTACAACAGGAACCACCTTGTGGAGCACTAATTAAAATATTAGATGTCAAAAAGCACAAATTCACAGTCAGCATAACAAATAAAGAAATGTTAATAATATTAAATTTGAAAAAAAATGAGAAAATTTTATACAAGACGACTGAAGAAACTGCAGGCTCAACGGCGTCCTGAGCCGCACTAGATGTTGATATAAAAATATGAGGGGCTAATGGGGGTGGGGCATGCAAGTATCTCCCACCACGTTACTCGCTACGTACCGGTCTCATATTCTTTGTATGAAGAATCCGTATGTACGCGTGTATGTAAACCGTGTGTCCACCTTTGCAGTTGTCTTGTAAGTTTTTCTTTGAATGTATCTATACATATCTGTATCTTTGCAACAATTAATGTATATATATATATATATATATATATATATCGTTGCCCTCGGATTCATTCCTGTCTACGTATTTTGAGCGTGTGGCTTTGCCATAAACTTCCCTTTAGGGGAGTTGAACTATGTCGCGCGCAATAGACGCATTATATAAAATCCACTGTAGTTTGATAAGCGCAAATAATGCAAATGCGAGCAAATTATTTAGAATATTTATAAGTATGCGTTAACATTACGTCGCGTAACGAAATAGTGCACGCAACTTTCATCATCTTCCGCAAATAACGTTCGTTAAAAATATGGAAATTTTCACTCGGTCGAGATCGTTTAAATGGCTTTTAATCGTACACACCATCGGTATATTGAATAAAATCAAGCAAATTGCCGTACTTCGGCAAAGTCGGAGATTGCCTCTGTCCGATTTCAACTTCCGATTTTATAATGCAACGTGACGATGCATTGCAACGATTTATAAACCGTTCGATGGAATTCACGCGTGCCTCACAGGCGCGTTTGATTCTCTAATTAAACCGGGTCTTTATTCTAACAATTAATTAGCCGTGACGGATCAGCCGCCGATAAAGAAATAATGCGATAATATAGCACTAATGCGAAGATTAGAGCGAATCTTTTCAGCTCGTAATCTTAATTGGACATGCGTGATTACGCGTGCGTTGTCGATTCATTTCGTTTGTTCTCCTTTTACGCCGTACGCGATGCATCTCGATAAGCATATTTCTCAATCGCTACACGTTAATCTTTAGATATAAAAGATTTTAATTGAAATAGTAGAAGCACTATACGGATTTGTTTTTTATTTTAATAGATATCACAGTATATACGCAAGATGTAAATTCTGTATCCAGAATTTGTGAATTAATTACTAGCCATATAACAATATTAATATTAATTATCTAATACATTTCAGATAAGTCATAATTTTCCACTATCGGATTTGCTGCAATAACGTCTTAACTCACATCTCCTTGTATGTCATTAATTAAATATTAATTAAGAAAAGTTGGCAGAGTTAATGTGTATGAAACGTGCATTCACAATATAAGAATTCCAAATAATTTCGAAAATACGATGAAGATCGTCAAACGTGATTCCTAAATCGATGATCATTATCGAACACAGTTCCTACCGAATCATTACGTTATTACATTGTGCACACGTACCTACGCGCGACGAACGCGGATCAGTTTCCCCTCTATAGAAAGTACGTACAAAGAAATACGTGTGGCAAGACTCACAAACCGCCGGTATAGAATGACACACAGGGGAGAGAAGTTGCAGGACACGTTGGTCAACAACCTCAGATATTCATAACGTCCTTACACTTGCGACAGACTTGTAGCGTGCACGGTTACAAAGACACGCAGGAGCCTCTCGTTTGCGTAATTATCAGGAAGAGATAATTCTCGCCCGGGAAGTGAAGGGATATATGTGGAAAATGAACATCTTTGCCTATTCTTTTCTAAGAGGTTTTGTTGAAGGCATTTTTCTGAATGACAGTCTTATCAATATCTATACGCTTAACAATAAGCTTTCGAGTTCAATGCCCAACCTCACGTGGCTAACAAAATAAAATAGTATAATCAAAATTTGAGTTTTGAAATTTTAGAGCACCTGCCGTACAGTTTTGACTTGTCAGCAATTAAATAATTTTTATCTTAAAAATGACAGCAAGTTCTCACCAAAATTAGCAAAGTTCTTTTCTTTTTCTTAACGTTCCTTTATTTTTAGACTTTTTCTCCGTATGTATGAGTATCGAATCGGAAGATGGAACAGACATAAGTAAAACCTGAAGAATATTATAAATCAGTAGTATTGTTCGTAAGAAATAAAATTCCTTCTGTAGTACGCGCACGATTCGAAGAATGCCAACAGGAAGGAGCCTTCTCCACTTCCCATCGACGTAACGTATTACGTCACGAGTAAAATCGACGTTCCGGTAGTTAGTGACGAATTATACATCTAATCTAATTGTAACGTCCCACACACCGCCAAAGACAGATCTTATTGCGATAATAGTGTTCCAGCCAAGTAAGTCGGAGAAAGTATCTCTCGATAATTATATCAACTATACAACTTGCGGTAGAAAACAGATGTATCCCTGAGAGGACCCGGGGCAACGTTTTCGTGAGAAATCGCGTTACGATGCGCGCTCGTCGAGGCGCCCACAGGTCGCGTAATCGACGGTGAAAGGTGTTCTTAATAAACGCGATTTAATAGCTAGTTCACGCGGGTGTCGAGCTAAAAGCGCGAGCTGAAATCTGTAACGCGATTCGCGCGTGGCACGAGAGAGAGAAAGAGAGAGAGAGAGAGAGAGAAATCGGACCCACCTTTCTTCTAGCGTCTCTAGCTGCCTCCTGCTTGCAATTCTCGCTGAAATTCATGTTGAGATCGAGGTACAGGTGATTATTGTTCAACAGAAGCGCGGGCGGCTCCATCGGCGGCGGATTCGCTTCCTTCTTGTGCCTCAAACGCCTCTCGGTTCTCTCCTGCCTCGTGCGCAGCACGAGCACCACATTTCGGTCCAGCATGTCGAATTCGAATCTCGACCAGAGAGAATCGGACAGGCTTATATTTACCCTTTCGTAACACGCGTGCGACGTCCGATCGAGTTTTTCGTAATACACTGCACCACGGATCTAGCCACTGCGCAGCCAACTCTATCCCCGACGCACATTAATATTTATCAGGAGACCATATCGAGATCTCGCGTGGCGGCAAAAGAGAAGTGTACTATAGGCACGAGGAGAACGTCTTTCTGTTTCTTCTACTATTTTACGCTATCGTGGCGACATATTTATACGTTGTCTTATTATATGTGCTCCAGTTCGTAATCGCGAGCCGCTCGACGATGACTCGACGATATTATACGATCTCTAATTCTCGCTTTTCCGCTGCTTTTTTGCGCCGGTTCAACGGTAACAGCCGGGAACTTGTGCGTGATTTCGCGATGATGCAACGATCGAGGAGAAATTCGTAAATCGTGGCCGTAAGGGAACGATAGTAACGGACAGTGTGCGTCGGATAAGTGCAAAGTCCCAGCATTTATTGGATTAGCCCGGACGTTATCGTCTGCCATGTTATCGGAGCGAGCGAGGCGCCTACAAAAAATGCTAGGCGCCTTGTGAGCGTGATCGTTTTTTGTGATGTGCGTATACAGAGAGAAATACGGGAAGGAGGAGGAGGAGGAGGAGGAGGAGGAAGGCGCCGTCACGAAGACGACGACGACGACGATGGACGACGACGAAGAGAGGACTGCGACATGCGGCTGGACCATAGTTCACCGAGTTCACCAACCTCCAAAAACCCTACGCGGTTATGAATATCGTCCCAGACAGCACGCATGTCCAAAACCAAGACATAAAACGTTTTACGAAATGATGGCTAAAAGACGTCTTAACGACGCCGCGACGTCTTTAAGACGTTTCATGTCTCGATTTTGGACATGGTGCTGTTTGGGGTGGATCCGTGTAGAAACTCTGCTACTTTATCTCTGCCTACATTAGAATCCGAGATTCAAATGCTGAAACAATCCTGAAATTATCGTTCCGTCACTCCAGTTATCAATATCGAAGGGCTCACGCCGTTTCTCGGTTTGTTTGTTTTCGTTTAGCAAAGAATTTATGATCCACCACTACCGCAGAAGAGAGAAACACCGCGCTGTTTACGCGTTATCGATCGCCCTGGTCGCTGCATCGCTTTAGGTGGACCACGTACCAACCGCCTGGTTCCTGGTTCCTGATTCTGTAACTCTCAACGACAGGGTCGTTATCGTTATTACATTGTCGTCGCACAGGTATAATATATGACAAAACCTGCGCGACTACAATATAACGATAACGACAGATATCTGTCGTTAAGAACTGAATGGGCAGAACGGGGGCACTGGACCAATAAGAAAATCCGTCAATGAATGGGAGAATAAAAAATAAAAGTGAAAAATCACGGTCGCGTTATCCGGTTGTCGCCGGTTAGTTTATCGAAGATTACACCAGTTTCGCCATCCTACCGAGAAATTACGTCGAAATTACGTCAGTGGGATTATTTTCGTGTCTTGTTCCAAGTTCCAAGAGCAGAAGAGACGATCACGAGAGGCGATCATGTAACGGGAATAACAACGCAAATCCTCGTAGTTGTTACACCCCGCGGTTACGATCGACGCGAAACGAACCTGGGATATGCCCGTGTGTTCCGCGGTTTCATCGCCGCGGTATTCTTTCCCGCCGCGAAGCCGCATAATCGAGTTACACCGATCCCCCGTGACACGATTACGCGTTCGCCCCGATCCCCGATCGGTTCGGTATACGTCCTTCGGCAGGAATACTCCGTATCGGAGGGAGAAATATAATATATATCGGTGACACAAACTGATACATCGCGAATGGTGTTGCAGTTCGCCATACCGCGTATCGCGACAACCTGATTAAATATACATACTTACGTTACATTGCGACAAAACGGTCGGATTAACTTGCAATTTACATTGCACTTCGACGATTACTGTTAATTACGCGCCACGCGAAGATGAACCAATTCGATATATCAATCGCTATAAATAAGCGTGGAAACGTTGCGAAAACGCGGAGGAAAAGAACGAAACGATGTCAAGTGATATCTATTCCGGAATAGATGGGAAATAGTACGCGTCACGTCAGCCGGAATTAGAAACACAACAATCCCCGTTCATTTAGACAAGCGCAAATGAACGTAACGTGATAACTAATTATAAGAATGAGATAAACATTATACAATGCTACGCGCGCTAGTCCCTGACTGGCGCTTAAGAGACCGACGACGCAATTGTTTTGAATGAGCGAGCCACACTTACGTAGTTTTGACGACACGATTCCAGGGAATATCTGTTACACGACGAATGTTGATTAAGAAACAAACAATCTGATTTATGTCCATTAATTATGTTCAT